GGGTAAATACCTAAGAGTACAATTGCTGGATCCCATGGTAAGAGTACATTTAGTTTTGTAAGAAGCTGCCAAACTGTCTTGCAAAGTAGCTGTACCATATTGAATTGCAATTGGTACTGAATGAGAGTTCCTGCTGCTCCACATCGTCACCAACATTTAGTATTGTTTCTTTCCTTCCCATTTTAATAAGTGTGTAGTGGAATCTCATTATTGTTTGAATTTGCAATTTTCTGACCACAAGAGATTTCATGCATCTTTTCATGTGCTTATTTGCCATTTATATATCTTATTTGGTGAGGTGTCTATTCAGATTTTTTGCCTATTTTTTAATTAAGTTGTTTGTTTTCTTATTTTTTTTTGTATATTTTGTATACAAGTCTATTATGGCCTGAATGTTTATGTCCCCTCAAAATTCATATGCTGAAATTTTAACCCCCTAAGGTTACGGTATAAGTAGGTGGGGCCTTTGGAAAGTGAGTAGGTCAGGAGGGTAGAACCTTCATGAATGGGATCAGATTATTAAAAAAAAATCGACAGAATTTCCTAGTTCCTAACACCATGTGAGGACACAACAAGAATTCTATGATCCAGAAAAGAGCCTTACCCAACCATGCTGGCACCCCAATCTTGGACTTCCAGTCTCCAGAACTGTGAGAAACAAATTTCTGTTGTTTATAAACTACCCAGTCTATGTTATAGTAGCCTGAATGGACTATGACAAAGTCATTTATCAGATATGTGTTTTACAAATACCTCCTTGCAGTCTGTGGCTTGTCTTTATATTCTCCTTACATTGTCTTTCACAAAGCAAAAGTCTTTAATTATAATAAAGTCCAACTTATCACATTTTTTTCATTCATGGATCGTACTTCTGGTATTATATCTAATAATGCATTACCAAACCCAAGGTCACTTAGATTTTGTCTTATGTTTTCTTCTAAGTTTTGAGCTTCTACATTTTTCACTTAGGTCTATAATCCATATTGAGTTAATTTTTGTTGGGGGTCTATATTCATTTTTTTTAGCATATGGATATTGTAGTGGGTTGAATAGTATGCCTTCCCGCCTCACCCCCCCCCACACACACACCTTCTTGTCTATCTGAAATCTCAGAATGTGATCTTATTTAGAAATTGGGTCTTTCCACATAAAATTAAGGTAAGGATCTCAGGATGAAATCACCCTGGGCTAGGTTAAAGAGTCCAAAACACCTTGATTTAGGACTTCTGACCTCTAGATCTGTGAGAAAATAAATTCTATTGTTTCAAGCCATGAAGTCTGTGGTAATTTGTTATAGCAGCCCTAGGAAAATAATTAGACACTCAATTTTCCCAGTAGCATCATTTGTCAAAAAGACTATCCTTTCTCTATTGAATTTCTTTGCACCATTGTCAAAGATCAGTTGACCATATGTATATGGGTCCATATCTGGACTCTATTCTGTTCCATTGATCTCTTTGTTCTTTTGGCAATTCCACACTGTAGTGATTACTGTAGTTTTAGAGTAAATTTTGAAGTTAAGTAGTGTCAGTCCTTCAACTTTTTCCTTCTCCTTCCATGTTATGTTAATTATTCTGGGTCTTTTACTTCTCTATATGAACTTGAGCATCAGTTTGTCAATATCCATAAATAACTTGCTAAGATTTTAATTGGGATTGCATTGAATCTACAGATCAAGTTGGGAAGAAGTGATATCTTCTTTTTTTTTAAGATTTTATTTATTTTTGACACAGAGAGAGACAGCAAGAAAAGGAACATAAGCAGGGGGAGTGGAGAGGGAGAAGTAGGCTTCCCGCTGAGCAGGGAGCTCGATGAGGAGTTCTATCACAGGACCCTGGGATCATGACCTGAGCCGAAGGCAGATGCTTAATGACTGAGCCATCCAGGTGCCCGGGAAGAAGTGATATCTTGACAATATTGAGTCTTCCTATCCATGAACATGGAATATTTCTCATTTACTTAATTCTTCCTTGATTTGTTCATCAGAGTTTTATATTTCCCTCATATAGATCTTGTACACATTGTTAGATTTATACCTAAGTATTTCATTTGGGGGCTGCTTATTATGTAAATGGTATTGTGTTTTTAATTTCAAATTCCACTTGCTCATCATTGAAATACAGGAAAGTGACTGACTTTTGTATAATCGCCTTGTAATACTACAACTTTGCTATAATTGCTTATTAGTTCAGAAATTTCTTTTGTTAATTCTTTCTGATTTTCTACATAGATGATCATATCTGTGAACGAAGACAGTTTTATGCCTTCCTTTCCAATCTGCATACATTTTATTTCCTTTTCTTGCCTTATTGCATTAGGTAGAGGTTTTAGTATGGTATTGGAAAGGAGTGGTGAGAGGTGACATCCCTGCCTCATTCCTGATCTTCAGTGGGAAAGTTTCAAGTTTTGCTAGGTGTAAGTTTGTGTAGATATTCTTTATCAGGTAAAGGAAGTTCCCCTCTACTCCTAGTTTACTAAGATTTATTATGAATTGGTGATGGATTTTATCAAATGCTTTTTTCTGAATCTATTGCTATGATTATCAAATATGTTCTATTTTAGTCTGTTGATTAAATAAATTACATTAGTTGATTTTCAAATGTTGAACCAGCTTTGAATACCTGGGATGAATCTCACTTGACCATGGAGTATATTTTTTTAATACTTTTTTGGATTCAATTTGCTAATATTTTGTTTAGGATTTTTGCATTTATGTTCATAAGAGATATTGGTCTATAGTTTTATTTTCTTGTAATATCTTTAGCATTTTCTTTTTAATTCTTTTTAAAGTTTCCATATTTATGTTTACACTATCTATGCATTCTTGCATGTGTCTACTTTTCCATGAGAGTCTTTACTATATTAATCATAGCTGATTTTAATTCCATCTGATAATTTCAAAATCTGTAATATATTTGAGTCTGGCTTGGATGCTTGCTTTTTCTCTTCAGACTGTTTTTATTCTTGGCTTTTAGCATGCATTATAATTTTTTTGTTGAAATCTAGACATGATGTATCAGATAATAAGAACCAAGGTAAGTAGAGCTTTAGCATGGGTTTTAAGTTAATCTGGCAAGGAGTTGGGTTGTGTTTATTGTTTATTATAAGTCTTTGTATCAAGGGTTTCAAATTCATGTAGTTTTTTTGTTTTTGTCTCTTCTGCTGATTTTTAATTTTCCTAAGAATTCCTTGTTAATAAAAGTCCGAGACTTGCAACCATTTCAGCTGTAATCCATTGTCATTATATTAGCTCTCTATTGATACGGTGATGAAGAGTTAGGAAGGGAAGTATTTTAAAATCTTCTGTTCAAATTTCACTCTTTTGGTGGGCCTATGACCCTTGGCTGTGACCTTCACAAGTTTCCCTACTTTTTCCTCCTCCTTTCCCACCTTAGGTGAGACAGGAAAGCTAAAGGGAACAAGGGTAGGGTCGTTGTCCTTCTACCTGTGTAACATAAGGATCTGGTAAAGTCTTTTCCCTGGAGAGTAGGTTTTGTTTGTTTGTTTGTTTGTTTGTTTAATAGAAAATGGTTTGGGCTTGTTTCAATATGGCTACTTTCCCCTTCCTTTGTCAAAGATATGAGGTGATTTTTCTTGGTTCTTCACTATAAGAACCTGGAGGCGTTCACGCTGGTGAAATCTATGGACTAGAGCCCTGAGGATTTTGTCACCCTCAAGCTAATTCATACTCAACCTCCCGAACGTCATCAAAATTACCATTACTTGTGTTGGTTAATATATGTTTCAATTTTTGTACTCAGTAAATATTTATTGATTAGGTAGTATATGCCAGAGACACTTCTAGAAACTACTAATCAATGGTGAAGAAGATAGGAAAGTTCATTTTCTAGTGGGAAAGAGACACATATAAAAAGATAATTATAAAACAGAGAGGTAAGTGCTATGATAGGGGAAGTCCAAGGTAGTATGAAAGTACCTTTCTCTTAATTCATACTGGGTTTTATTTTCAGATTCTCCATACAGAATAAAATACAAAAATAATGAAACAGCCGTATTTGGAGAAAATGTGACCATCTTCTGCAATTTAACAACTCCAGCAGATGTTGTGCAAATTACCTGGCAAAAGATTCAAGGTTCTTTGCCACAAAATATTGGCACATATAGCAGTATATATGGAGAAAAGATTCTTCCACCATACAGAGATCGGCTGCACTGTGAGGTCATCGAACCCAATTCCTCATTCATAACTATCCGTGAAGTAACATTTGAAGATGAAGCCTGCTATAAATGTCTATTTAATGTGTTCCCACATGGCAGCCATGGCGGACAAATCTGCCTTAGCATTATAGGTATATAAATGTTTTTATGTAGAGTCAAAATTTGGGGGATGTGGTCTTTCAAGGTTAAGGTCCAGACAAAGAATGTTAGAGAAGGAAAGATTATAATAGAGGCCACCCATGCTTTTGTTATACAGCGGGAAAAAAAAAAAAAGGAAGCCAATGATAGTTACATGACTTTCCCATTTTCACACAGTGCAGGACCAGGCATAATATTTAGGTCTTCTGACCTCTCATCTAACTTTTACGCTGCACTGATTTTAATCTGGCAGATAAAGTTCATGAATGGCATCAGAATTTTCATTGGGAAAGAGAGGAAAAGAAAAAGAGAGAGTGGAGAAAATGAAAGAAGAAAGACTTAAAGAATAAGAACAAAATGTTGAAGGAATAGTTATAGTTAGTATCATAGTGTCCTCTCATTATTTTGATGAAAATTTAAAGTATTGGAGGTTTATATAAGATAATTTTAAGGTTGAATGAAAGTGGAGATAATGAAGCATTTCTCTTAAATTGGAGCATAGTAGGTGTAAGAGATGGAATTGTGAGATTTTGCAAAATATGAGGAGAAGTGTCTGAAAGGGACATGCTTCAACCTTTTGTCATCATATAAATATTTGGGGAAGTCTATCTTTAACACCTTAGAAATCAGGTATGACATATATTTTATATTTAATTTTGGGTCTCCTTTTTTGTCTCAGCTGTATCTGAATTAAAAACTGAACTCCAGTCCAATCTTGACTCTGAAGATTTTCTTAGATTTATTTACTCAGCTGTGGGAAAACCTGTTCCTCAAATATCCCTTTTCCCATCACGAGTCTTGATTAATCCACCAGAGGAATACTTTGCTCAGAACCCAAATGGCACGGTGACTATCACTAAAATGTACAACATCTCCTTGGAGACTGTGAAGTCCCTAGGTCTCCAGTATCTGACTGTGCGTATGGATCATCCTCTAAGGAATGAAGAAAAGATTGTTCCGTTGTCAGTCAAGCAAGAATGTAAGTAGAAGTAATAATCAACAAGGGGAAATGTTCTAAAAATTCATATCAGAAGTGTATGTGTACTCATCTATTTTTAGAAATGTTAAGTCATTGTGATCCATATGCATGGTTAAAAGAATCAAGTAATGAAAACGTTCTCTAACCCAGTTCTGCCTCCAAAGGTAATTATTCTTAAATGGCAAATTTTTAACTGATCTCTCTTAATTGCTTTCCACTGAATTTCTTCCACAGTCAGTGAAGACCAGGTTCACTTATATCTCCTTCAACTTTTCCTCCTCCCAATATAGTTCCTTTCTTCCCAATACAGTTCTTTTGCTGATTACCTCTGCAAACTTCAACAATGTGGTTAAACTTATTTTTGTGTCATCCACCATAGAAAGTCTCTCTTAGCTGCCCATTTTTCCTTGCTTAGCTTCCACCCAAGCTCTGTCAGTTGTACCCTCTGTTTCAAAGCCATAGTTAAACAAGGTATGATTTTCTTTAAAAATTTAAGTAATAATTTAAATATATTTATGTTTCTGTATTTATATAATACAATTTCCTATAAAATTTAAATAATTGTTTTTATATTTCACTTAATCTGACACTGGAGCATTTTGTCTCTATATATTTAGTGTAAATACTGGCATATTTGGGTTTTCATCTACCATCTTACTATTTGTTTTCTATTATTTGGCCTGTTTTATGTCCCTTTCTCTCTCTTCCTGAATTCTTTTAGGTTATTTATTTCTGTTTCATTTACCCCCTCCATTAATTTGTTAACTATACCTTCCTGAATAGGAGACTACAACATATATCTCTTGACTTATTAAAGCCAATATAATTTATTATTTTTACTACTTTTCAGATAATGCAATGAGCTTATATAAATTATCACTCTTGGTGCTGTCATTTTGTGCATTTCATTTCATTTATTCATTCATTTATTTATTAATTAAAATTTTTGTTTGAATATAGTTGACACAGTGTTATATTAATTTCTGGTGTATGTTTTGTTCATTTTAATTCTTTATATATATATTTAATGCCAAAATATATTATTGTTGTTATTATTCGTAGTAATATTCTTCTAGATTTATCCTTTCTATTGTTTTTTATTTCTTTGTCTATGTTCAAACTTTTATTTTTCTTCTGCCTAAAGAATTCTCTTTAGTTTTTTCCTTAGTGAAGATGTATAGATGACCGATTCTTTTAATATTTTTGGTTGTAAAATGTTTTAGCTTTTGAAGTACATTTTTGTAGGATTTTTGATTCCAGTTTTGATAGTTATTTTATTTTTTTCATCACTTTGACAATGGTATTTTACTGGCTTCTGATTTTCATTATTTCCTTTGAAAAAGTATATGTCAGTTTTATGGCTCGTCCTTTGAAAGGAATGTATCTCCCCTTCACCCCTACTGCTTTTAAGACTTTCTCCTTGTATTTATTTTACATTAGTTTTATTGTTAGTGTTTTGGTATCACATTCTTTGTATTTATCTTGCTTGCATTTTCCTAAGCTTCTTGAGTCATGAGTTAATGTCCTTCATCACTTTTGGAAAATGTGTAAACTCAAGAAAATGGTGAGGATAACATTTCTCCATAATTTGTTACAATCATCAAGAACCAAAAAGCATCACTAGCCATCAATGATATTGAATCATAAAGTTTGAATGAATGAAGGAGACATCACATCTTTTGGAAATTTAACAGCTTTTCCACATAACTAGCTATGGGAGTATTGGAATAAGTAGCTTAGTACATGGTCCAGATGGGCTAACCATAACCTCATTAGTTATCTCATTAGTCTCTGAATTAAACAGCCTGTGGCCTAACCTAAATAAAGCACAAAAAAATGGCTATCACAAAATGAAACTACTATAAAGCATAATATACTCAGACCAACACAAATTATTCTTCCATTGTTTTCAGCCTCCCCAGGTTAGCACGACCTGGTTCAAGTCAACTCTGCTGTAGAATTAGAACAGTGGGCAATTTCCCTAGTGACTCTGTAGTGATGATAACAGGCCACAGGACCTATCCTATGGTCCGACAATGCTGTTTCATGTGATTAATAGTTTGCTTGGTACACCACTTTAGTTTAACCACCTTTCTGCCCTCAGATCTTGTAGAGTATTCCTCCATTGTCTTTGATCATCCATTGTTATTGCTGAGAAGCCAAATGTCAATCAGATAATTGTAATAGTAAATATTACTGTATCTTCTCTTTGATAATATGGTATTTTCTCTTTATCCTTAGAGTTCTGAAACTTCCTGTGCTATTTTTAAGGTATTTTATCTTATTTTTAAATACTTTAATGTAATTGCCATTTGGTGAGCTCACTCAATTTGGAGACTCAAATCCTTCAACTCTGAATATTTTCTCATTTCTTTGCAAATTTTCCACCTGTTCACTTAACTTACTCTCTTTTTATAAACTTCAATTAAGTGGGCATTAAAACATTTCAATTGAATTTTATTTTCTTCTTAAAAAATGTCTCTTTTTCTTTTCTTCATAATATCAGGGAGATTTTTAAAAATTATCTTTAAACTCTTTCATTCAATTTTTCCTTCTTTTGACAGATTTATAATTTTGAATTGCTTTTACAACTTAAGATTAATTTTATAAATTATAATTGATTTAATTTTTTTATACCCAATTTTCCTGCTTTATGAAAGTAATATCTTATCAAATCTATCTGGGAATAATAATTTAGAAGTCCTGTTTCTTTAATTATCTCTTCCACTCTCCCCCCTGACTTACTACCACCATTATTTATTTATAATTTTAAGTAGGCTCTATACCCAGTGTGGGGCTTGAACTCACAACCCGGAGATTAAGAGCCTACATGCTCTATTGACTGAGCCAGCCGGGTGCTCCCCATCATTTTAATTTTATGTTTCTTTTACTCAGTCTTTCTCACTTTGATTACAAGTTTTATTTAAAGTCTAGTGAGCTCTGACTGGAGGATTATAGAATCTTTATTTGGTTAATTGTATCTTGTAAAGAATGACTTCTGTTTGTAGAAAGCAGGCTGTTGCTTTCTACAGTTAGCCAGGAGACTCCAAAAGCCAGAATGTAGAGGCCTGTACTCTGGACCTATGACTCCCTACCTTAGTTATTTCCAGGATATTCATTAAATTACTTAACTGCCCCTTTCTTCTCTCTCTCTCTCTCTCTTTTTTTTTTTTTTTTTTTTTTTTTGGCTGGAGGTTTCACACACCTGCCTCTCCAGAACTGTGATTTCAGATACGGAAATGGGTGCTTTCGACTGTAAGTTTCATTCTGTGATTCACTACTCCTTCTTTTGCCATCTGAGTTCTAATGCTCTCCAGGTTCTGCAGGGCTGTCTCTGCAGGTGTAAGCTGCTTTTTGCATACATGAGCCTGTAGCTTCTCATCCTACACCTTCATAAGCCTTTCCTCTATCCACTTTACGACTTTTGTAAATTTGTTGAAATCTCTTGCCAATGAAGATCACTCTCCTGTTCGTTGTTTTTCATTTAATCAATTTATTTTTGTTACTACAATTTTAATGAAGTCTTAAGAAGGAGTAGAGGTAAATATTTTTGTTATGTGTGTTTCTTGAAACTGAGGTTAATCAGCTCCTTTTTTCCTGGAAACTTTCCCCAAATTATGAGATTGGAATATGCCCATTGAATAGCATATGTATCTCCCATCAATCTATTGGCTAGATTATTATATTAATTTCACTTCTCACTGAGCTGCAAATGTCTGTAAAGGAGTAACTTATCAATTTAGAAGAGAATTCTTCCTTGTTTAGCTTTGCAACAAATATTAAGGATATAAATTCCTGATTCTATTGAAATCTTCTATAGAGCCTTTATTCCCATGTTTTATTATTGCTGACTTAAGGGCTCCGTTCACATTTTAGGCCCATTCAGCCTCCTTTGCCCACTTGAATGAGTTATGTAGTATCTCATTGAAAAAGAACATAGTTAAAACTAAAAACTGAGACAAAGTGATGTCTGAACAGTCAGAAATAAATAGCACAAAGTTTCTCACATGGATTTTCCTAATAGTATCAGGGAAGAAGAAATTGCTAGCAAGAATTTCTCTTCAATGATAATGAAAAATTGAAAGCAGCAAATTAAAAAGAAGTAAGAGGTTACAATGAACAGAAAAATGACCTCAATCAGAAAGAGGACCCCACAATCTACCAGAAGCAGACCTAAGAATACGAAATGCACAATAATTCATACCATTTTAATGTAAGTGCAGATTTCCTTGAGGTCCATCCACAAAGTGTATATGTTCATTTTTATATCTAAGAACTAGCAGAAATACTCATGATGACCTTTGGTTAAACTTATGCTGCAATGAAAAATGTAAATTATATTCAGAAGGCTACATAGAAAGAAGTGGATTTGTAATACAATTTAGGAACACCATGGTCAAAATAGCTACTATGAAGTGTTGATACTTAAAATTTCATACTATATTTTTTTCATAAGACTGCAGCCTCTAGAATCAGACAGAACTGAACTTGCTTCCCAATTTTGCTACTTAATCACTATGTATCGTATCTTTGGGCCATTTTCTTAATGTCTCAGAGCCTGTTTTCCCATCTGAACCTAAAAATCGTACTCACTTAGTTGATGTAAATAATCCTTACAAAATGCTTATCATATTGCTTAACACATTAACCTTAAATACTGATTATTATCATTATAAATTTGTTTTCTGAGGTTTTTGCAGATTCTTTGAAAATTCCATTTTAGTAATTGAGTATTATTTCATTGTGACTACATTATATTTTTCTTTAAACATCTTCTTTTGTTGAATATTTGGGTGGTCTGATCTTTTTTCCTTATTCTTGAGTGTCATAAAATGTTATTAAATATTGTCTGTCTTCATTTTGAATATACATTAGTATATTCTTTTATAAAATTGATTATGGCAAATAATCTCATAGTGTCAATTTGAATGTCAATGAAGCAATGGCAAATCAAGAGAGTATTGCAGATTCAAAGTGTCAAAATGACAGTACAATGTACAGAAATTAAGCATAGTCACAAAGAACATGTTTCTGGTTTATGTCTTTCAGGTACTTCTGTTTCTTCTTATATTTGGTTGCGCACAGTTGGTCCACTCATAATTTTGTTATGTATTTCATTGATCATTGTCCATCTTGTCCGGAGAAAGAAAAAGTAAGTTGCATTACTACTTGTCTATGATAGGGAAGGTGGGTAAAATAGGGCTAGTTTTAAATATGAAAAAAAGACATTTCAAGGGCTTTGGCAAAATTCGTCATGGAAAGAATGATGATGGAAAACTCTTTTCCATTTACTTAGTAATTCTTGCAGTCAAGAGTTTATCCCTGGTCAAATGATATCTTACTTGGGATTGTATAAAGGTAGACTGTTAGTCATTTATACTGATGGTAAATTGAGCTTAAGAGTCTTCCTTTAGGGGCGCCTGGGTGGCTCAGTTGGTTGAGCGACTGCCTTCGGCTCAGGTCATGATCCTGGAGTCCTGGGATCGAGTCCCACATCGGGCTCCCTGCTCAGCAGGGAGTCTGCTTCTCCCTCTGACTCTCTTCCCTCTGATGCTCTCTGTCTCTCATTCTCTCTCTTTCAAATAAATAAATAAAATCTAAAAAAAAATAAAAAAATTAAAATGTTTAAAAAAAAGAGTCTTCCTTTAGAACAGTTTTGAAGGAAAGAGCATATGAACTTCAGACTATTGGTGGGAGGGTCCGCTGAGTGGGGAACAAGGCTGAGATTGGAGGCTTGAGATAAATCTACCTCACAAAGCCACAGTAGGATGAAAGTGGTCTTACTTTACAGGACTAATACATTAAAATATATTTTTATTTATTCAACAAATACTTCTTTTTTTAAGATTTTATTTATTTATTTGAGAGAGAGAGAATGAGAGATAGAGAGCACAAGAGGGAAGAGGGTCACAGGGAGAAGCAGACTCCCCCTTGAGCAGGGAGCCTGACATGGGACTCGATCCCAGGACTCCAGGATCATGACCTGAGCCGAAGGCAGTCGCTTAACCAACTGAGCCACCCAGGCTCCCTCAAGAAGTATTTGTTGAGTGCCTATATATTGTTATGCATTATTCTCAGTGAGGGCAATAGAAGCACAACTAAAACAGGCAAGTTTTAGAAGAGTATGTCTCAGTAGGGAGAGGTGGTCAATGAAAATTTACATAGAAACAAGAGAACACCAGGTGGTGATATGCACTATTTAAAAAATAAAGCAGAATGATGTAATTGAAAGAGACTATGGGATTAGTTTATATTGAGCAGTCTCTCTGAGAAGCTGACGTTTAAATTGAAACCTGAGTAAGAAAAGAGTTGTGAGTGACATTCTCAGAGAAGAGTATTCCAGACAAAAAAGGAGGAGTTATTGTAGGTCCTGAGGTGGGAATGAGCTGGGTGTGTCCCAAGACAAAACGAGGTCAGTGTGCATAGAGCAATGATTTAGAAATAGAGATGGGGTTTAGAACAGGTAAGGCCCTCAGGCCTTGAAAGGCGTTTGGGATTTTTACTACTTGCAATACCAGTCTATTGAAGTATTTAAAACAAGGGGGCACAAGGATCAGATTTACACTTTAAAAAGATCTCTTTCACTGGAATGTGGACAAAGTTTCTTAGAATTCAAGGATGAATGCAAGGAGGTTTTTAGAGAGGTGATGGCCAGAGTCAAGGTGGGAGTCAACAGTGGTCTGGACTAGGGTGGTAGCCCTGGGAATTGAGGAATTAGGGAGAGGTTTAGGATGACAGGGTTTGCAGCTGGATAGATGTGGATAGAGGGGAAATAGGGGGAAATTATCTTGATGATTCTAAACATTTCTGCATAGACTGAAGAAACCTTTTATAAATGGGGAAAAATTCGAGGAAGAACAAATTTTGAAGGAGGATCAAGAGTTCTGTTTTGGACATGTTAATTTTTAAATGCCTATTTGACATCCAAGAGAATATGTCAATTATGTACGAATCTGGAATTTACAGAGCAGATGAGACCAGAGGTACAAATTTGGGAGTGTAGTGGGTATCAACAGGACGAATCATAAGTTATGACTCTCACTATTATAGTGTAGAAATAACCTTCAAGTTCTGTTGATGGAGTATTTTTATGCTGAATTGAGCATTGAAAAGATATTTTGATCAATCTCTAAAGAGATCTGAATCTTCCAATTTTTTATTCATAGAATGCTCTTATAATCTATTGCCATTAGGGGGAGTGTTTGGGCTCTATTCATCTTATGAATCTATCAACATCATCTCTGACCTATAGGTCAGAGAATGTGCTTAAAACCACACCCCAGCCCAGCAGTCTGATGTGGAATCCTTAGTGAGCCACTCTCTTCCTGCACACAGGTAATTGGTAGGTGTGTGATTTTTGCTGTCATTGTGCATACTTCAAATTTAAGACTTAACCTTCCATATTAAATCATCCATTCGGTAGCAGCAATTACCATTTTTAAAAATAAATGGAAACAGATTTGTTTATATAATCCAGTTTAATGAACTAGTGGGTTCAAGTGAAATGGTATTAATATTAATGACTGAATGTTTCTATTCATTCCCTGATTCAAGACCCTTAGTTGAATGACTGCTCTAATTTTGCCTTTTTTTTTGAGTATTAATAAGTATGAGCATGTCTTCATATATTTATGAATATATATATATATATATTTCTCAGCCATTCAGGTTTCCCTTTCTTTGAGGTTCTTATCTATATCTTCTGGTTGTTGTCTGTATTTGCAGAAATTCTTTATATTCTAGATTCTTTATGTACTAGATAGTGATTACTTCTCCCTATTTAGCACCACACTACTAAATTTTTCAGTTATATCATTAAAAGAACAGAAATATTTGATGCTTTAATGTTGTTAAATCCATCAATTTTTTCACCTAACACTTTGAATTTGGGGACCTATTTAAGAAGTAATCATTCATGTAAGTTCACAAAAATATAATCACATTTATTAGCTTCATATTTTTCTATTTCATATTTAGGTCTTTTAACATTTGTACATAACGTAGGAATGACACGTACTGTTAATTTTCATCATGTAATGAGACAGATTTCCTAACATCACTTATATACAATCTGTCCCTTTCCTTATTGATGAGCTCTGTTTTTAGCTCTCTCAGGTAGAGAGTTTTGTTCCATTGTTGAATTTTTAGTTTCTTCATGATTGCGTATAGTTTTTATTATTATGGTCTTTTGTTATGTTGAAATGTGGTAGGGAGAGATCCCTTTTTGTGTTTTTTAAAGATGTATCTCTTCAGGGATACACACACACACAGACCGTGAAATAAGTTTATTTCATTAAAAAAATATAGCTGCAATTTTGGTTAGTCTTACACTGAATTGATAGATTAATTTAATTTAGAGAGCATTGATATCTTTACAGTGTAATTTACTCCACCCATAAATATGCTATTCATTTATTCAAGTCTTTCTGAATGTCTTTTAGGAAAGTTTTAAAACTTTCTCTCTGTAGGTTTTATATAATTTTTGCTAAATTAATTCCTCAGTACTTTTAATTTGTTCACTATGATGAATGGTATCTTTTTTTTTTTTAAAAAATTTATTTATTTGGAGAGAGAGCGAGTATGAGAGAAAGAGATCATGAGCAGGGTGGAGGGGCAGAGGGAGAAGCAGACTCCTCGCTGAGCAGGGAGCCTGATGCAGGACTCAATCCCGGGAGTCACCCAGGTGCCTCCAGTATCTTATTTTTTTAATGAAAATTTCTAGCTGGTTATTAGTGATTTAGGAACAGTTCTGGATTTTTTAGGCTAACCTATATTTGGAAATCTTGCTAAACTATTAGTTAAAAGTTTTTCTGTTTATCTAAAAGTTTTCTATGTAGATAATCATCTCTTGTGCACTCAATGACATTTTTACTTTTTCCTTTCTATTTTTTATACCTCCTTTTTATATTAAATAACACCAGTTACCTTTGTCTTGCTTTTCTGAAATTAAAGACTGTGTTTTAAATTTCTCAAGTATGGTATTTGCTGCAGTGTTTGGCTATTAATCATATAATCGATTTCAAGAAACGTTTTAATATTTCTATTTTCTGTCATTTTATTATATATAGACTGTTGAACTTAAGAAGTAATTTTGTATCTGTTAATATAGTCATATGAATTTTCTATAGTAGTCCATTAATATGATAAACTGCGTTGAGAGATATCTAGTGTTAAGCCATTCTGGGAGTATATTTTTGCTTATATTTATAAATAAAACAGGACAATAGTTTTCATTTTTTTAAATTATCTTTCCCTGGCTTTGAAATAAAATTTTCAAATTAAGGTTTTGAAATTGACAGTAACCTCAGAGAAAGACCTTAATCTTTTAATAGTTCTCCATTTAGGAACATGTATATAAGATGGCTATTTCTATTCCTTCACAATTATCTGGGTCTGTGGGGTTTTCTTTGATTTCAGCTTAATTGCTTTCAAAGTGACTGGCTTATTAAATTCTGAATTTTTATGCTGATTTTTATTATTCTTTTCCTAATTTTAAATGATTTTATTTTATTGTAGTAAGAACATTTAGCATGAGATCCATACTCCTAACAAAATTTTTAAGCATACAATATAGTATTATTGATTATAGGTACAATGTTGTACAGCAGATCTCTAGAACTTACGCACATTGCTTAACTTATGCTTATTGGTTAGTAGCTCTCCATTTCTCCCTTTCCCCAGCCCCTGGCAACCACTGCTTACTCTTTGATTCTATGAATTTGATTATTTTAGAGTCTTCACATAAGTGGAATCATGAAGCATTTGTCTTTCGGTGACTGGCTTATCTCACTTAGCATAATGTCCTTGAGCTTCACCAATATTGTCACCTATTGCAGAATTGCCTTCTTTTTGAGGCTGAGTAGTATTCTATTGCATGTATATATCACATTTTCATCTGTAGATGAAATTCATCTGTAGATCAACATTTAGGTTGTTTCCACATCTTGACTATTGTGCATAGTGCTGCAATGAACACATGAAAGTACTAATAGCTTTTTGAGCTCCTGATTTCAATTCTTTTACATAAATATCCAGAATTGGGATTGCATCATATATAGTTCTATTTTTAATTTTTAAAGAAATCTCCATATTGTTTTCCACAGTGGTTGTACCATTTTGCATCCCCACCAATAGCGCACAAGGGTTCCTATT